TTAAAATTTAGAGATTTGTTGAATATAAATTTCTTCACGCCGGCATCTTTAGCTTTGTAATTTTTATCTAAAGCTTATCACAGTGCCTTTTCACTCTAGATTTGACTATACACATAGTAAAATGTATTATCCAACTTATTTAAAATGTAGTTCTTGCATATAAAATCAATATGATTTTATGCATCCACAACCATCATGGTAGTATGGTCACATTTATTTTCTGATAATTTTAACATTTTCTTAGTTAAGAATTTTTTCAAGTTCAAGGTAATTAAATAGAATAATATCTTTTGCTTCCACCTCTCAAAGTTTAATTCAATTCATTGAACTTTTGCAGGTTTATTTCCATGGAACATGAAAAATGATGGTAGGATCCTTACTATTAAAGTAAAACTAGTTGACAAAACTAAATCTTAGTAAAACAAGTAGAATATATGATATGATCTACATAAAAAAAAATAACCAATAATATTTATAAATAAATATTTTGGCTTCACAATAAGTAATAAAAAAACTTGTAATAAAACAACTTAATAAATAAAAATATTTAAACTATGCAAGATAAAACCAACAATCATTTCCCTTTCTTGGGTTACTAAGTTGAACCCTATTTTTGATTTATTCAAAAATCACTATTTCAATGTGAATTGTATTATATGTAAAAATCATATGATATAAATAATATTTTTATTAAATAAGTTTCTTAGAAAAATTAGAGGGATCACAAACGACCCCATTTAAAACTCAATGTCTTTGGACATAATTTTTTAGATTATTTATATTCATTGCAGTAATTTTCTATATATATTAACATTAGAATATATAAGAATAGTAATCAATCATTTAATTATTAAAGTATAAAAAATAATTTTAGAATATACACTATAACTTTAAAATAAATAATGTAGCCACCTTTAAAAATAAAAAAAAAAAGGGGGGCATATTATAAAAAACAAAAAATTATATATTAAAGCATATAGAATTAAAATTAAATTGAGATTATAGCAAATTAAATGAAAGTTAAATTATAAAATAAATTTTAAAAATATTAAAAAATTCTTTTATAATTAATCTATATTATTATTGTTGTTGTTGCTGATTTTTTCATAAAATAATAAAAAATTATTTATTTAAAGTGTTTTAGCCAGTAAAATTACTAGACTTTACAGGTTAGACTACTAGGTTAAGTTGGCTTAGATTGGATTTGTTAGCATTATCCAAAAAATATTGTCCATGACAATTTGTGGGTGACACTTTTAAATTTTTTAATATATTTGTGTCAAAATTAGTATAATTTTTCTAAAAAAACTAATTTTTTTTTAAAAAATCAAGTAAAAAATAGAGTGGGTTAATGAGATAAAAAAAACAAAAAAAAATATTTTGCTTAAGAAACGCTTAAAGCTGTTATTCAGAATAAAATATTTTTTTAGTACTATAAAAACATGTTGACAAAAATTACATTATTTTTTTTTCTTACATAAACCAAAAAAGTCTTAATCCGAACGGCGGTGGACTTCTATATTTCTTGCTTCGATAGACAAGACATCATGCCCACGTAAAGGAAAGTAAAGTATACTCCTTTGGAAAGTCTGTTCATACAGACCGTACACGTACCCATGAGGTCCCACATGAAAAATAAAAAAGCTTCAAGTGGAATCATTTTTCAACATTATTAAAAAAATAAATAAAATAAAGATAAAATAAAGGAAAGGTCGAGCATGGAGCTCTCCTCTCTCTCTCTTCTTATAATATATAATAATAATATTCTCAACATTTAATTAAAAAAGATTATATTATTTTTTAATGTAGAAAAAACTACTCAAATGACAAACTAAAAAAATTAAATTGATAAAGGGTGAAATTAAAAAATAACTAAGAAAAAAATGACACTATTCCAATTAATAATATTTTATGGGTGTAATTATAATGATTAATCCTTTAATGTTTTGTTAATAACTTCAAAATTAAGGTGCCTCAGTCAAAATAGAAACCCTAACAAGATTTTCTAAAACCCCACCAAAAGATATATTTACTGTTAGTTATTTATTTTATATAAAAAAGAAATCCAATTTCAGTACTTTTCGACGACTGCTTTTACAAAAGTTGATTCGATCACCTCCAATATTAAAAAAAAAAAAAAGGAAAAAAAAGAAGGAAAAGAAGTAAAGAACTCATGGTCAAGCATGGGTGACCATCTCCCACCAAGCACGTGGCTTTACACGCTACTTTTATTTGAGGACAGACCTCATGCTAGTCCCCAAAGTATTTACAGTTTCTCAATTGAGTCACCCGACTACCAACTTTATCACTCTGGTCCTCCGTATCTTTGTTCAACCAGATCCTTTTGTTACAACGAGGTTATTGCCCGCGTTATCGCTGCGGCTTGGACCTAATATTTTTTAAATGTAACAAGATAATATCTAAATTATCATAAACTTTTCAATATTGTCATTGCATGACGTGCTATGATTTATATTTACAAAATCCCGGTCCAATTTTTTTTGTTTAATTTGGATTTTAAATTAAATTATCTATAAATTATCCCAGATTATCTGGCTTTATCAACTAAATAGACATAAAAATAAATAAATGAATAGATAAATATATCTTTATTCCAATGAAACTCGCAATTTAGATTTTAGATTTAATTGGGTTGAATTAATTTTTTTAATTTTATTATGTAATAAAAAATATAAAAATTATCAATCAAATATTAAATAAAAAAATTTAAATAAAAAATCAACATTTATTAAAAAAAAACCAATAAAATAATTCACGAGCATGTTAAAAAAACCTGCACTTGGCATGCCAGCACACTAATTTTTTTTATTCATCTAGTTCCTTCTTAAAAAAAGAAACACAAACAACATGTCGTTTGTCACATAAAATAAGTTACTGCCTCTTAAAACCTCGACCACGCTACGTGCGCCCAATCAGTGTATTGTGTCTACCATTTCAGCAAGGAAACAGATGTATCACCCTGTTATTAATCTATGAATATTTAACTTGACTTTTTGTTTTTCATAATAATTGGAAAAGAAATTAATTGTTGCACGTGATAGTCATTTGTTTTCCAAGTAATCGTAATTTCTCCAAATCATGAGCGTAAAGGCGCTCGAATTTCTTCATTCAGCATGTGCGATAACACGTGCGGTAAGTTAAAATTGCTTTATCATACCCTGATTTGTCCTGACTTGTACGAAATCACGTAACAACTGAGATGAGTGTCTGATTATACACACGTTACTGTTTGGATGTGATTGAAAATATGGTTGAAATTATAATTTTAAAAAAAATTTAAAATTATTTTTTTAATATTTTAAAATTATTTTAATGTGTTAATATTAAAAATAATTTTATAATTTTTATTAGTAGAAAATGTATTAGTTTTTATATTTGCATTTTTTACCCAAATAGATTTTTATGTTTAAATTTCAATTATAAAAATTTATTTTCTCAGAGATAAAGTTATTAAAAATAATAATTAAAGAAAAAAAAACTTTTAGTCAATCATATTATAATATTAATGGGTTTATCTTGAAAAGAAAAATCCAATAAAGGTGATTTGATTCTTTAATCATGCACGAAATAATAGATCATAATCTATAAAATTTAATTTAATTTTGAATTCTTGAATATGCTGATCCATTTTTTAATTTTTCAATATTCTAAAATAAATATATTTTAAAAATAAAACAATTATAATGATAATGTAAAAATTATATTTTGACATTATATCATCCAAGTAAAATTCAAGGTTTTTAATGGTTAGCAATTATTTTATAAATAATTATATATAAATTTAACATGCTTGTTTTATATAAGATTTCTCATGACCATCCAATGAGAATAAAATCTTTTATTTTTTTATTTTAAAGTTTTTATACAATTTTCTTTCAAATTAATTATTTTGTGTTTTCACATTAAATACATAGTTTTTATCAAAAAGAGCTATGCTATGCATAAAAAAAAACACATTTCTTATTAAAAAAAAAAATAGAAGAAGTGAGTTTTAACCAGAGAAACTTTTTCTAAGAAGTGATATATATATATATATATATATATATATATAATTAATTAATTTGGTAGTTGAGAAATCGGGGACTGACGTGAGGTTTGTGAAATATAATAAAAGAATATTTTTAAAAAATTATTTTTATAATAATACAATAAAATAATTCTAAAATATAAAAAAAAAATACGGAACCGAACCGCCAAACACGCATTAAACATGGGGTGTCGATTTCGTATGCGTGTCGGTTCTATATATGGTTGAGTGTTTCAATCCATCGTCAGAAAATGAAATACGAAAGCACAGACGGAGACACCGAGTAGACGCGTAGGAACCAAGCAACGAGTACTATTTAATTAATAATTCTACTTAACCGATAAGATTTTATATCTCATTTATTTTCACTCTTTTTTAAAAAAACAAATCTGTTAATTTGCCCCCTTTTTAAATAATTTGATCAATTGAACCCATTCAGATAAATAAATACGTAAAAAATCAAGTTCACCCTAATAAACAAAAATATTTATTTTAAAATTTTAAAAAATAATCACTTTAAGAATTAATTTGCTCTCCCATCTCCATATGGAAAGTTAAAGAATTCCATCTCGATTGTGTTTTGGTAACACGGTATAATCCGTGTCTTTTCAAAAAAAATTAATTTTTTTTTAAATAATATTTTATATTTTCAGATTATTTTGATATATTTATATAAAAAATAATTTTTAAAAAATAAAAAAAATTATTTTAATATATTTATAAACAAAAAACACTTTAAATCATCAATACAATTCTAAATACTCCCTTGATATGCACACTGATTTGATGAAATTCGGGTATTGGACTCAATAGAATGTAAGTGAAAAGAAGGGATTGGATTGATCAAATATTTATACGGGGATCAAATTGAAAAATGTACAAAACAATAGGAACGAAAGTTGAGGAAAAGTTTATCCTGATCTGTGATGAGGAACGCGCTTTGATGCACTCCGAAACAGAATATAGACACCTCCTAAATAACAATGCAGCTCAGTCTATAAACAGAAGAGAAAAAATTCCGGGCTTTCTCATCTCATAAACTGCAAAGAGAAGAAAAAGGAAAAGAAATTATCAATTACCTGGTGAGTACCCTTTATTGTTTCTCCTTTTTTTTTTTTTAATTTGCTATTTTTTTTGTTTGTTTTCTTGAATTGTGATATTCTTTATTAAATTACGTTTAATTGGTAGAGTTTACAATTTTCTTTGATGGGTTCGGTCCAATTTTCTCTGTTTTTGCACTTTTTACTATGCTTGGGTGATGATCTTGTCGTGAATTGTGATTTCATGGCCATGCATGTGCTTGTGATTACAAGGGAATATCTTTTCTTTTAAAGAAAGAATATCATCTGGGAGATGTGACTGTGTTCTTCTGTTATTGTTGATTTTCCTGTCATGCATACAAACAGATGATGATATTTGGCAAGCCTGTTATGCGAAGCGTGAGCAAAGATTGATTAGAATGGTTAGAGATATCACCTTAGCTTAGAACATGCATTATCTGTTTGTATAACATATATGGACCCCCTTTCGTTTATGCATGATCTGTTTGTATAACATATATGGATCTAATTATTTTACTAATTTAAATAGCATTCCACATATTGAATAGTGATATTGGAGAGCTTTCATCTTCTAAGTTATTTGCCAATTAACAATCTTATTTCCAATTCATTATGTCTGGCTTGAATGTGTTTTTGTAAGCACTTTCGTGCTTTAATTATATAGGTTTGAGTTATGGTTCTAATATACCATCTGGAATTCTTAAACATGATTGAATGACTACAGTTTCAAGGTCTGAAACTAGACCTGAAATTTCAGTTCCTTGACTCACATTTCAGCAAACTTTAGTGAAAGTGGGTGGAAAGAGCATAACGGGCAACTGGTTAATCCTGATCTCTTTCAGTTTGACAACTTGCTTTAGAGGGAGAGGGAACAGGACGGGCCTTTTACTCTTTTTTTGTCCTGTATGCTCTGATAATGTGTGTGAACATTGAGATGCAAGAACGGTGAAATTTGTCAATGGTTGAGAAAATTAAGGAAAGGCTTAGGACCTCCAGGAGATGGAAAAGAATGGGCCTTTACTCTTTTTTTTTTGTCCTGTATGCGCTTATTGTGTGTGTGAACATTGAGATATAAGAGCGGTGAAATTTGTCAAAGGTTGAGAAACTTAAGGAAAGGCTTAGGACCTCCAGCGTTTTGAATTAAGTGATTAAATTTCTACATTTTCCTCCCTTCTTGAGGAGTTTTGTTGATTCATTTCATAGCAATTCCTTTTTTAGAAGTGTCTTGACAGACTATTCCTTTGAATTTCTGTAGCATTAGAAAATGGGAGGTGGCAAAGACAAGTCTGACGAAGAGTCTACAGACAAGGGACTGTTTTCAAATCTTGCTGGCTATGCTGGTGGACATTACCCTCCAAGCGCACCATACCCGCCACATGGTTATCCACAACAGGGATACCCACCAGCAGGTTACCCTCCCCCTGGTGGCTACCCACCTCCGGGCTACCCTCCCCCAGGAGGATACCCACCAGCAGGTTATCCTCCTCCTGGCGGCTACCCTCCCCCTGGGGGCTACCCTCCTCCTGGTGCTTACCCTCCAGCTGGTTACCCTGGGCCATCTGCTTCACATTATTCAGGTATCTTTGGTGATCCTTATACTTAATTTCCTCGAGGCAGTTTTTTTTTTTTAAGAAAAAAAATTGGTGTGTTAATGACATGGTAGTTGAGTCTAATGTTGATAGGAATGTATGGTTTCTTACCTTAACTCATGGAGGATCTTTATGGTCCTAGGCTCCTAGCTGTATGAGCGAAGGGGGAATGGTTGAGAGATTCTGTCTTTACTCTATTTCTTTTATCCTAAATTTCATCTTTACAACCACCAATATATCTCGTGGTGAATATATCTTCCTTGTAAACACATTAAGAGTTCTGTGCATTTGCATGCTTTGTACACCTGCATTTGCAAGTGCATCTGTTTAATTAATTAGACTTTTCCTGTTATCTTAGATGGAAGCTATATGATTATGTGCAATAGAAATGCCTGAATAATCGAGGGACAGCTTGACTGGGGTGTTTGTGGTTGCTCAATTTCTTTGTTGTAAGCTTAGTTTATAGTGCATCTCTACAGAGGTTGATAATTCTATATATAAAGAATAGTCTACAGGTCGACTAAAGAGTTCTCTGATTCAATAGCTTTTTAGGATTTTCTCTGGTTGGATTGGCTACCAATTGAAAGAAATTTTGTATTATATTAGAAAGAGCATGTATTGACAGTAGTTGCAACATGTCTTGTACTTGCCAGGTCCTTATCTGCTAGTGGTTTGAATGTTAGATTGATTGAATCATTTTTACCCCCTCAAACCTCAGAATAAGTAATGATGTGGCTTTTTATATAACGTGTGCTTGCCATTCTGTTTATTGTCATTTTGGCTAACGAGTAACTATAACAGGGCATGGACCTGGAATGGGGACATTGTTAGCTGGAGGTGCTGCTGCTGCTGCAGCTGCTTACGGGGCCCACCAATTGTCCCATGGAGGTTCCCATGGCTATGGTCACGGAGGTTACCATGGCTATGGTCATGGAAAGTTCAAGCATGGCTATGGTCATGGAAAGTTTAAGCATGGCAAGTTTGGCAAGCGCTGGAAGCATGGCGGATTTGGAAAGCACAAGGGCAAATTCTTCAAGAGATGGAAGTGATTTCTGCCAAAGCAACAACCAATCTGTCATATTACACTGGTTGCAGCTTTCTGGTATAACTGATTTGGCTCTTGGAGACTGATTTATTATTCTCGTAAAGATTTTACCCTCAGTTTGGGTGTTAATACAGTTCTGACTCTCTCCTATTGTAATAATTTCTCTGTATGGTGTTCCTGTGTGTATAAAAATTAGCCTGACCTTCATTCCCCGTTTCTATTTTCTTGTTTCATCTTCTTCTCTGCCTGGAATAAAAGGACATACTGTAATTGGAGAAATAAAATGACAGCCAATCATAAATGGGATGTGCAACAAGAAGAAAAAATCTTGAACACCTCAAGCAATCCATCACTTCCATTCGTTGGATTCTTTTCCTTCCTTTTTTATATAGAAGAATTTCCTGTCAGTATTCTTTCTGTTTGGAATAAAACAAGAGATGAGAATCCAAGACCAAGTTGAAAACAAGATCAAATAGATTGTGCAGAGGTGAACAAGATCAAATAGATTGTGCAGAGGTGAAGATGGTGTTTTTTGTTTTTTTAATTTATGTGGATGTTCGGGTTAGTTTTTATAAATCATAACTAATTTTATGATTTACTGAATATCTTATAAATCTAATAAATATATAAATTTTTAATTTATATAGATTTTTTTTTAATTTATATAGATATTCAGGTTAGTTTTTACATATCATAATTAATTTTATGGTCTACTGAATATCCTATAAATTTAGTAAATATATAAAATCCCGTAGAGATAATAAATATACATGAGGACTCAAATTTAGCTTTTACATATCATAACTAATCTTATAATTTACTAAAATACCGTACAGATAATAAATATACATGAGGACTCAAATTTAAAAATAACAAAAAAATAAAAAGCCCTTCTCACGGCCAAGGCCAAGACGCTCAGTGTGAAAAGGGTGCCTTCTTCATTCCATACGATAATGCTAGGCTACAAGGCATGCTTCCTCCCTCAGAACTTGTCCACCAACCCTAGCGTGCATGGCCTGGTTTGGGTGACCAAACGAGAGAAGGTCAAGGAAAATAAAATACCTGCTGGATGCTTTCTCCAATCAAACTCAAATGAATTTCAAAAAACATGGCCTGCCATATATATATTACCACTAAATACGATAACCATTCATTCAAAGATAGATAATTTCTTGCCACTAGATTGTGTGTGCATCACAAATAAATATGAAAATCAAAGTGAAAATAATAATGATGTTTGTGTAGGATCATGTCTATTTCATGGGATGAGATTTTGTTTAAAAATATATCTAAATCATTCTATATAATATTAGAAAACATATAGAAAAAAATTCTAGTTATATAAAAAAAACAATAAAGTTTGAAGAATAAATAACTTATCCTTAATAATAAAAAAAGTTTAATTTTAACATTCAATATAAAATTATTTTTTAGTTGATCTTCTTAATTTGATTTAGTTTTTTTTTGTTGTGATTTTTTTATTATTTATTAGCACAACTAATTGTTTGATTAAATAATAAAAAATATATTCTAAGAAATATAGTTATTAAACATAACCTAGTCTATTATAACCTAGTCTGTATTAAATATTTTAGTTTTTATTTTTATTTTCATAACCTAGTCTATGATTTGTGCTACAAAATTAAATATTTTAGTTTTTATTTTTATTTTCAGCATTCAACATTCATTTTTTAAAAATTGGTTTTTGTATTTTTTTTGGTATTATCTTAACCATATGCTCATAATTATAGAGCTAGTGTATTTATACATGTTGATTCAATTTTTTTTAATTTTATTATTTAACATTAAGTTATTTTATAGTTGAATTTTATTATTTGAGTTAGTTCACTTTTGCTTATTCATTAAATAAAAATAATATTTTAAGAAATATAATTATTAAAACATGTATATAAACATATGTATTTAAAATTGAAAATATTTTTATATCTAAAATGCATATGCAATTTATTTATTTACTTTTTTTAAAAAAAGAAAAAAGAAAGAAAAAGGCCCGGTGGCGATGCTAATAAAAAAAAGAAAAAGAAAAGAAAAAGGCCCGGTGGCGATGCTAATGTACAAAACTAAGTGACAGATGAGATGACGTGGTTGCATGTTCTCGTGGGAAGAGTGGTTGAATAGATGGGGCCCATAAGCTCATGCATCCACATGCAAATGGAAGGCTGTCCACATCCCTTGAAATTTGCGGCCATTCCTCTTTGGATCCATGGTTTGGCCTTCAATCCAGTCATCACATGTCCCTTCAATTAGGGCTTTTATTTCACTCATATCCCCTATTCTAAATGTAAAAAAAGTTATATATAAAAAAAAAGTTATCTTTCTTTTTTCCAATGTTGATGGTTTTACATCTGATATTGTAGTATTGATAGACTATTTGAATAATGATTTAGATCCTGTTTATTTGTTGGAAAATTGTTTTCTTTTAGAAAATAAATTCTAAGAAAGTAAATTATTTTCTAATGTTTAGTACTGTAATTAAAAATAAGTTAGAAAATAGTTTCCAGTATTTGGTTATGTCATGGAAAATGAGCTGAAAAATAACTTATTAATATTTTATTTTTTGTTAATTTTATTAAAATAATAAGGAACAAATCTTATAAATTAAATAGTTGAATGACAATAAAATTGAAAAAAAAAATAATTTCATAAATTATCTCAAATAAAATAAATAATAATCAAAATAATAGAGATCAAATCTAAAAAATAAAAAATAAAAAATAATGAAGAAATTAAAATAATAATAATAATCAACATTTCATAAATTATTTCAAACAAAATAAGTAAAAATTAAAAGAATGAAGATCAAATTTGATAGATAAAACATTTTAAAAAAAATGATAGGGAAAAAGCAAATAGAAATGATAAAAATAAGGACCAAAATTAATATAAAAATTAAATTTTAAAAGATGAAATTGAAAAATAAATATTCAAAACAAAATATATATAGCAATTAAAAGTTTAAAGATCAAATTTGATATAATCAGCAAATAATGACATTTCTAAATTTTTCATAATTTTTAAAAAGTGTTTTCTACTCAAATTTTCTAAAAAAACACTTTCTTGAAAACCAAGCCAAACGCTCAAATTTTCTAAAAAAACACTTTCTTAAAAACCAAGTCAAATTTTCCTTTGACTGAAAACTGTTTTTCGTTGACCAACTTTCCTAACTGCAAACAAATACAAGAAAGTTTGGAAAGTAATTTCTCGAAAACTACTTTCTGGAAAATAAACACAGTAAAAAAGAAAAACACTTTCCTGAAAACCAAGCTAAATTTTTCTTTGACCGGAAAATATTTTATGTTAACCAAATTTTCTAATAACAAATAAATACGAGTAAGTTTGGAAAGTAGTTATCTGAAAACTACTTCCCAATAAATAAATATAACCATAATTGCTCTTACGTTTATTCAAAAATATATTTGTTGTAAAAACATAAGGATAAAATGAAACAACAAATGACATATATACTTCCCACACGTCATATATCCTATTTGCATAGAATGAGTAGTCAACGTGGACTTGTAGATTTTAAAAGATTAATATATCATCCAAACAATTACACTAGTTAAGTAAGTAGTCATTTTCCAAAATCTAGATAATCAACCACTATTAAAACTTTTGCATTAGTTTTACCCTTCTTTCGTAGCAATTATATTTATTTTATTTTTTATAATAAAAAAAAAGACAATGAAGTAAACTGATAAGTATGGAAAAAAGAAGATCAAATAATATAATGAAAGATTATATAAATATATAAAATAATAAATATGCATTATTTTTTCATAAATTAGATATTGAAACAAAACTAAAAAGATCGTAGAAGGAGATTTTGCATGTTCAAGAAAATAAAAAATTAATTAATTTTTCACCATAAAATTTTTAAATTAGAGATTTTCATTCTTGAATGAAGGAATGTAAAAAATTCTTATATATTATTTTTCAATTTAAAAAGAACCCCAACACTATATACTAGGGCATGAGATAAACAAATAATAATATATGAACCACCCCTGGAGAATATTGATAATAGCCAAACCTTGAAGACACATGAAAATAAACCTCGAGACACACACCCCTTTTACTTACTCCACTTTGTACGGTTGAATATGTCAGCATGTAGAACTCACATGTCACTATTAAATTTAAGTCTTAGTAATTTTTGTATATGTATAAATATTGCTTTACCGGACCTGAATCCAATTTTTGTTTAGAAACTGTTTATTTTTATTTTTTAAAAATACTTTTAAAAATATTTAAATTTATTTATTTATTTAAATTAATATTTTTTAATATTTTTAAATTATTTTAATGTGTTTATATTAAAAATGAGGCAATGTTGTATTCACGACCCCCGCGCCATCCCACCCCCTCCTTTTTATTTTTTTATTAATAAAAAAAATATTAATTTATGTACACATTAGTCTGAATTGCCACCTGATTCTCAATCGAGTTCCCTAACCAAAAACAATTCTTGTTTTAATTTCTTATCTATCAAGCATCTGTAGAAATAAATTTTATCATAAATTGTTTATATTTTTATTTATTTTTAAATTATTTAATATAAATTATTTTTCAGTATCTTTAGGCTACACCATTTTTTCTCTTATTTTCTTTTTCACTAGCTAATATCGGTTATAAAAATAATAATTTCAAACTAGATTAAATCGAGTTTTATTCTCAAAAAGTTCAAGATATTAATTATTATGAAACATATGAAAGCGGTTTTAAGTGAATTTGAACAAGACACTAAAAGTATTTTAGTATTTATGTGATGAGTCCTAGCTTGTGTACACTAATATTTCTTTTGGTGATCTAATTGGAAAATGTTTTTGTATAGGAATACAATTGCAAAATAGCTAAATAGTTGAGGACAAATTTATGCTATTTTTTTATCAATTAAAAAACTAGATATAAATAAAATTAATCTCTAAACTTACACTCGACCCCCTCCTTCACCTGACTAGGACATATTAATGCAAACAAAATAAAAATAAAAATAATGCAAACAAAAAGAGAAACCCCATTTTGAAAATCTCTTTTTTTGGATATATATATATATATAGAGAGAGAGAGAGGGGGGGGGGGGGGGGGGCGCGTTGTTGCTACAATTTGGACTTGATAATGGCCTTTTTAGATCTTGGGCTCCATATGAAAGTTGTAGGCCTATGTCTTACCTTTCCATCCATATAAATTGGACCTA